AAAGTGTTGATTTCTAGTGATTTGTTAAAGAGTAATGCATTAGTGGGTGAAAGTACTCGAGCCGCTCGTGTGTGCAGTAGTGGCTTCTTATGAGTATCTGGGAAGTATGAGGGAGACACTTTTCTCGGCACTTTACTAGCTTGGACAAATTTAGGGCTCATCATCTTGCACCGAGGGGTAACGGGCTGATTATATCAAACTTCTACGCTTCACTAACCTCGTGTGATGTTTCCTGGGGTGTGATTCGTCTCTGTATTCGACTGATGAAGCCTGCTGCGTAGGCGTAACGTTTCGTCAATAAACATTCCTAACGTTGCATGTGTCTTATCAGATTTAGGGCCGCACGAAATCTGAGAAAGATTTCTTTATCAGCTTAAGTAAAATGGTTTAAAATTATAAGAAGTTTCAGTTAATCAAGACAGTACTAATATTTTTGTAATTTAATTCAAGTCCACATAAGTATAACTCATTGCGATCATAATTCTATGCCTTGGGTATCTGCAGGCATGGAATATCTGGAAAAACTGGTGGGACGTGCAATTTTTACCATTCCAGAAAATGCCGCGCCCACATGACAACAGGAGAATGCAACTCTCCTTCCTGTAATTTTTTTCCATCCTGAAATGTGTCGCTCTTCAGTCCAGGAAAGACAATGCTATAAAATATATTGTCAGGCACACCACCTAGAGGGGACAAGAAGATACAGATCACTCAGACTGTGGGCAATAAACCAGGGTAGCCACAACCACTCCAGGGACGGAGTTTTTTTTAGTGCCAGGAAGAAAAAACAAGCTGGCAAGAAATGGAAGAAATCTTACATCAACTCAAATCACTTCTGGAGCGGAGGCACAGTCAGTGGCTTCCACTCCAAAACAACAGATATTAGTGCCAGCAAACAAAGCCCCCCTTCCCCACAAACCGTCAGTACGACGACATTTGTCCTTGCAAATATATAGTCTAAAGTCAGCAACGAACAACGAAATAACTTTCATCAGTGGACTGTTCACAGAGTCAAACGCAATGTTTGCGGCTTTCACAGAGACCCACATAAAGAATCACTTTGACAACGAAATATGGATCCCAGGTTATAACTTATACAGATGCGACAGAGTAAACAGGCAAAAAGGATGGGGGGGGGAGGGGGAACGGAACCTGTGTGTCAGTGTCGCTCATTTGCTCGGAACTACTGAACACCTCAAACGATGTAATGGAAGTTTTGGCATTAAAGATCGAAAACCAAAACCTTGTCATTGTGGTTGTATACAATCCTCCAGATGCAATTTCCTAACAATTCCAGGAACAACTTTTGAAAAATCTTCCAGCTCCTGATCCAAACATCTTGCTGCTTGGTGATTTCAACTTAAGACACCTAAAATGGATGAGATCATGTCTTAGCAGAGATAACCCAAGGAGGCAGCACAGATGAAAATTCACACACACATGAGCTTGTTAAATCAGTCAACAAGACTAGAGAATACACTGAAACTCATCTTCACTAACAATGATCTGATACGAAACATAACCATATCAATGGCAATACATTCAGATCACAACATAACAGAGGTACAGACATGTATGCCCAGAGCTCCTGACCAGCAACATGTGATCGGTTATGAGGGTGCCTTCACTACATTCAACTTCAATAACAAAATAATACAGTGGGATCAAGTCAACCCTGTCTTAAATGAAACAAGCTGGGAAGATATCCTAAACAACTTGGATTCGAACTTCTGCCTAGAAAGAATTATCTTTGTGACACGAGGTATGTTCAAGTGTCACAGAGTTACACTTGAGGAAACTAGAGACTCTCCATGTACAGATGTAGGCGATGAATCACAGAGCTGCTGAAAGGGGCCAGTATATCTGAAATACGAAGGGAGGCACTGGGCAGAGAAATAGCAAATATCGAACTTAAACTTAAGAGATCATACAAGAGACAAGAAACTCGCGACGAACTAAAAGTCATAATTGAAAATGAAAGAACCCCAAAATATTTTTTTTCTTATACCAAATCTAAGGCGAAAACAACATCCAGTATTGGACCCCTGCTTAGATGAGCTGGGACCTACACAGATGACAGCAAGGAAATGAGTGATACTAAAGGCCCAGTATAACTCGGTGTTAAGTGAGCCGCTAACCAGACTAAGAGTCGACAACATAAATTAATTTTTTTATGACCGAGACTCAGAATTTGGTCAATTCAAACATCTCTGATATTATACTAACACCACATGACAACACGTCGGAAATGTTCATTGCAGTCACTCGCAATACCGGTTACAGTATTCTCATTCAATACCATCACTTGTTCATAGTTTCGTGGAATTATCCACAGTAAGGAGAAAGCTAAATAACACTGTATACTTCAGCACTTCCAGTGTTCAACCAAGAAAGTCACACGGAGATGCTATAAACACTATGTGATTAGTTGTACCGCTAATTTCCTGACTCGTATAAGGGAACTAGTCTAACTTTTCTAGTTTCCTGAGATTGTCAGAATGAACAAGAGTCAAGAACGCATTGGTCACTACTGTCTCTTTGTCCTTTAGCGATAGGGTGGCAGTGCCCTCTGTGACACACACGCCTCGTTTATTCCTTGAAGCAATCTGGCTTGTCGCCTGCATAGCGCCCTCCAGCTCCTCCAACCCAGAAAGGAAAATGCTGAACGTAGCTTTATAAATACTCGTTGCTATCCTGCGCAACAGAGTTTAACACAAGAGGGCAGTTTCTTTGTTGTTTAACTGTAGGCTAATAGTTATAACGTCCCTGACTTGTAAACCAAGTGGGGCGCAGGTTTTCCCTTAATTTTCCTGCTATGGGGAATGAGTAATTACTCTAGGTTTAATCCTCATTGTGCAGTTGCTCAGGAATTCTAGCAAGGAGAAGGAGACTTGCACGGTGATGCCTGGTACATACATGTGTCTCTAATAAAGCTGTTGTGAGAGGAAGTGGAGTCGTAGTCCACTAGCCCCTTTCTGAGAGGGTTAAGCCCCTCAGAGGACTGAGGGCTGAGAGGTACTCCCCACCCCTTTAAACTGGAGATTTTTCTCCACAAAGCATTATAGGTCGATAGCTGTGATAGCTCGATCACTGGCGCACTCAGCTCGCACACTGAGGTCCGGAGTTCGAATCTTCTCCGGTACGGCTGAGAAACATTAGGGACGTGTTTCCATGAGACACCTGCTGTCCCTGCTCACCAATCAGTAAAATGGGTAAATGGGAGTTAGTCGACTGGTGTGGGTCGCATCCTGGGACAAAACTGACCTAATTTGCCCGAAATGCTCTGCATAACAAGGGGCTTTCTATATAATAGTATGATACTCATTGATATCAGCTAGGCCTGTATACTTTGTACATGTACTTGTAGTATATAAATATATTATTATTGTTGATTCTTATTCACCTGCGTGTGACATCAGTTTTTTCATTAATATCTCAGGAACTTTCTTTTTACTGTTTCAAGCACAGTCAGTAATTTAGTGTCTTTACCAACTGGGAATTTTTTTTATTTGTTTTAGGCTCTAATTGCTCTTCCATGATCAGCGAGTGAAGAAATATTGTTTTTGTACAATTCCAGTTTTGATAATAGAGACAAATGTTTCCTCAGATTACTTCTGTGCTGTTATGAAATTTTATAGACAAATTCTTAGTCGTCAAATTCACAATAATTTTTCCTTTATACAGTCCACAGCCAAATTTAATTCAGCCAGTGTTACTGGCTTAAAATATTTTGTTTAATAATTTCAAGAACTAAATGTTCAAATAATTTAAGGTCCCGCTGTGTGAGTTTGGGGAGCTGAGAAGGTGGACATGGGAGGGACAGTGATGCGACTCACTGTTGCTAAGTCCCACCTGTCTCCCAGGTACAACTATATCAGTAAGTATAATTTGTTTTAGATGTACCAGAGTTCTCCCCAGCTATGTGTGTGTAATGTTAATTCAGGATTGTACCTGTGAAATTCATGCGCATAATTTCTCACAAATCCTACGGGCTCTCAAAAACATAGAAATAAATACACGAGCTCTTAAATACTTTAATACAAAAATCTAGAAATATAAGAAATGGTTATAAGCATAACCATAATTTTTAAAGAGGTGGGCCGGTATGCCAGCGAAATTCCTCGGTCAGATGACCAAAAGCTCCAGCTGTGGGTCATCATATGAGTAGGACCCCCATCATGATGGAAACACTTGTCCTGTTTCCTGACAAACATTATACCTACCTACCTTAAATACTCTGTTAAAGTTGTCTTTAAATATGACAATTATATACATCTCTCCCCAGGTAGATCTTTTAGTGACTTGATAAAGCTCATTGTATGGGCGATACTGAATTTGTATCTATCCATCTTTTCTAAGTGCAAGTTTTCGATAAATTGTTCCATTCTTTATGCCACTGGTATATTTTACATAGTGCAATTATTAATGCATACATTTTTAACTATAATTAAAGACATCTGCTCAGCGGATCTCGAAATCAGTTTACACCTTTTAATACATACAACACTGAATAAGTCACCATTTCTTGTGTAAATTTTTATTTGGGGAGATATTAAAAAATTGGTTAGGTTAGAGCTAGTTAGGCTACGTAAGGTTTCATTTTGCTTAGCTAATGTAACTTTTGGTTTGGTTAGGTTATGCCAGTAATAATAATAATTATAACAGTAAGGAAAAAGCAACAAAGACAACAACAGCAATAAGAACAACAGCAACAAGAAAGCAACAGCAAAGAGAACAACAGCAGCAAGATCAAGACCAGCAACAAGAACAAAACAACAACAACAACAACCAGAGTATACATGTTATCTTGTCAAGGACAGATAAGTACAAGGACTGAAGTACAAGGATTTCCTTCTGTCCCTTACCGAAATTTTGCAGACATAATAGTGATGTCTGGGCTATTCCTGGATAAATCGTACTAAGCAAATAGGAAACCTATGCCGATCACTCAAAATTCAGATTCAATGAGTTTCAAAATTTAGTCAGGCAGGCTATTTGTTCCTCGTGTGTACGTGCATGTAAGGTAGAGACGTCTGGTAACAGCGAGCAGCTATAAAAGACCCAGTGCGTGTGGTGTTCTTCACACTCAGCAACATGTCGCTCTTAGCACAGGTCATCCTCGCTTCAGCTGTGGCTCTCGCTGGTGAGAGATTATTTTTTATAGTTTTGTTCTTTTAATGGGTATTAATAAATGTTAAAAAGAGCTAATGTTGATGGCAAAAGGTTTAAATTATCTATGCATCGGCATACAAATAAGCAGTATTTAGCATCAGTCTTTAATCTATGAACACACACATATGTCGTGCCGAATATTTAAAACTGGTTAATTAGCAAGGACTCATTTTAAATTTAGTCATTTCTAAAATTTTCTCTTATACTTTTAAAGATATACATATTTTTTTAATTTATGGTAAAGTAAAATTCAATAATTTTGTTCCAAAAGAACCTTAGAAAACTTACCTAACCTTATTATAAAAAGAATAATTTAATTTAGCCTAAATCAGCTAAATATATTTTAGATAAGATTATAATAATTTAATAGTAAACAAACACAATGAAATATATTTTTTCGTCAGGTTCAGAATAATTTTTGCGAAATTATTGCATACACAAATTTTTGCTTGCCCTATTCGGCAAGAAGTGGGTTGCTATTTAAGCTAAAATCGCAAGTTTTACTTATTCGGCACGACATATACAGATAGATAAATTATACAATAGGATTACAATATGCAGAACAACCATTGTGAAAAAATAATGAAATTCCAAGTGCTTTCGTGATTTCTCACATTATTAAGGAACAGTTCCCCGATAATGTGTGTGTGCACTGTATGACCCTAGTGAGTTTAGCGCTTCTTTTTTGTTATAATAATCCCTGATAATGTAAGAGCTTGGAATTTCACTATATTTTCACAGTGGTTGTTCTGCATATTGATATCACCTATTTACTGTGATCTTATTGCACACACACACACACAGTAGCGATCAGTAAAGAGGCGGGTCCAGGAGCTATGACTCGATCCCTGCAATCACAGCTACTTTTTGCTAATGATATTGTGCTTCTGGGAGATTTTAAAAAGAAGTTGCAGAGGTTAGTGGACGAGTTTGGGAAGGTGTGTAAAGGAAGAAAGTTGAAAGTGATCATAGATAAGAGCAGAGTGATGAGGATAACAAACGATATAGGTAAAGAAAAAATGGATATCACATTGGAAGGAGGGAGTATGGAAGTGAATGTGTTCAGATATTTGGGAGTAGACTTGTCAGTGGATGGGTTTATGAAGGACTAGGTTACCCATAGAATTGATGAAGGGAAGAAAGGTGAGTGGTGCAATGAGGTATCCTTGCAGGTAAAAAAAAACGTTATCCATGGAGGCATAGAAAGGACTGTACGAGAGTATAGTGGTACCAACACTCTTATATGGGTGTGAAGCTTGGGATGTAAATGCTGGGGAAAGGAGAAGGCTGGAGACAGTGGAGATGTCGTGTCTAAGGGCAGTGTGTGGTGTAAATATTATGCAGAGAATTCGTAGTGTGGGAATTAGGAGAAGGTGTGGGGTTACTAAAAGTATTATTCAGATGGTGATGAAGGGTTGTTGAAGTGGTTTGGTAATTTAGAGAGGATGGAGCAAAATAGGATGACTTGGAGGGTGTATAAATCTGTAGAGGGGAGGAGGGGTAGGGGTCGTCCTAGGAAAGGATGGAGGGAGGGGGTAAAAGAGGTTTTGTGTGCGTCTTGAACATGCAGCAGACATGTGTATGCGTGTTACTGAATGGAGACATGGGTTTTGAGACCTGACGAGCTGTTGGAGCTGGGTTATGTTTTGTCCTACCTCCAGGACTTGAGTCCTGGAAGTGGGACGTATAGTGCTTGCACTTTAAAGGAGGAGCTTGAGATATTGGCTGTTTGGAGTGACATCTAAACTAGTATCTGAGTCTTTCTGCGAAGACAGTGATTATGTGTGAATGATGGTGAAAGTGTTTCTTTTTTGGGTCGCCCTGCCTCGGTGGGGGACGCGCCGACTTGTTGAAATATTATGTATATGTGTGTGTATGTGTGTGTGTACTGAAATATTCCTAGTATTATTATTCTTAAGAAGAGAATAGATTATAATTATAACCATAATTTTTGAAGGGGTGGACCGGTAAGCCAAGGGAAGGGCTCGGTCTAATAGCCAAAACATCCAGCTGCGGGTCATCATATGACTAAGACCCCCGTCAGGAAACTCTTGTCCTGTTTCCTGACAAACATTATACACATATTGAAATATTCCTAATATTAAATGATGCATAGGTGTAATTAAAGTTGACCTCTCAGCTAGCCAGTGCCCAGATGAATTCTTCGAGGCCGGAAGTGGATGCTACGCTGTCATAGACGAGCCAGGGCAGAACATAACCTGGAGTCAATGTCGCAGCCTCTGTCAGGAACTTAATGCAGATAGTGACCTGGCAACCTTCGACAACGCTGAACAGCTGGCAGCTTTCTCACTTGCTTGGCTCACAGAAGGTAACTTAAATTGCTTGTATCAGAGAAAATAACTGAAACTGCTTGGATCACACAAGGTAACTCAACCTTGAATATTTTTACATATATTGACCTGTACATGTATTATAGCTAATTATTAGGATAATTATTAGTGAACCCTCTTACTGAAGTGTTGTGTCTTATGTCATATTTTATTCATTATTTCAGTTCTTGTGTCTTTAATATTAGGACACAATGACAGTACTCTTGTTCTTAAAGATAAATCACTTACATTCCTGATAATTTCAATTGAATAATGAGAATATCATTCTTTTGATGGAAAGAGTATTTTACAAATATATGGGGTTTTCTATATGGTAACAGTCTAATTATGAAATTCAATAAAATAGGTACCTAGGTGTTAGTTGGCTGGTGTGGGTTGTATCCTGGGGACAAAATTGACCTAATTTACCAAAAATGCTCTGCATAACTAGCGGCTTTCTGTATAGTAGTATGTCATTGATGTCAGCTAAGCATGTGTACTTTGTACATATACTTGTGGAAATAAACATTATTATTATTATTATTATTATTATTATTATTATTATTATTATTATTATATTATGAAGACTTTCTGTGCTCCTTGTACTTGGGAGTCAAAATACAGGTATTTCTCAGGTGATTCCCGGTTTCTACCTCTGCGTAAGTATTCGAGACCTTGAATATTCATCTGTATTCTATATACTCGTGTGGGGATTGGCCACCCACAACCAGAGATTATCACCATCAGCTGCCTATATACACTGCCTACTGTGAGGAATAAGGTCAATACCCCACTGAAGCACCTCCTGAAGTAGAGCGGCAGGCTTCAGGCTGGATTCATTACTAAAACAAGGGACCACTAACCCAACTCAGCCATGACCCCAGACACATTGTCTTAAATTCCCACAGAGGCAGTTAAACAGTCTTGGGCCCCTGGCACTTATTGTCTTGTCTCTTAGCGTACTCGTGATTCCCGTGTGCAGGTTTGGGATTAGTCCCTCTAGGATTTTCCAACCCCTCAAGGAAGGTTCCTTGATGTTGGTGAGGGGCTCTTGATTTAGGGAATTGGATCTGTGCTCCAGTTCCCCAAATTAAGCCTGAATGCCTTCCACATACCCCCCCAGGCGCTGTATAATCCTCCGGGTTTAGCGCTTCCCCCTTGATTGTAATAATAATAATCTAGGATTTTCCAAGTGTATATTATCATGTATCTTTCTCGCCTGCATTCCAGGGAGTACAAATCAAGGGACTTCAGCTGTTCCCAATAATTTAGGTGCTATATCGTACTTATACATGCCATGAAAGTTCTCTGTATATTCTCAAGGTATGCAATTTCGCCTGTTTTGAAAGGGGCCGTTAGTTTACAGCAATTTTCCAGTCTAAAGAGAACAAGCGATTTAATGAGAACCATCATGGACTTGGCATCTCTAGTTTTGAAGGTTCTCATTATCCATTCTATCATTTTCCTAGCAGATGTGGTAGATACATTGTTGTGATTTTTGAAAGTGAGATCCTCTGACATTATCAGTTCCAGGTCCTTCACATTAGTTTTTCGCTCTATTTTGTGGTTGGAATGTGTTGTATACTCTGATCCAATTTTTATTTCCTCGAGTTTTCCATAGCGGAGTAATTAAAAATTGTCTTTATTGAACTTCATATTCTTTTCTGCGGCCTATTTAAAGATTTGATTAATGTCCGCTTGGAGATTCGCAGTGTCTTCGATGAATAACACTCGTGCAGATTCGGGTATCATGAGCAAAGGAGGTCACGGTGCTGTGGCTTACATCTCTGTCAGACATGAGGATGAGAAAAGGGATGGGAGTACTGTACCTTGTGGAACAGAGCTTTTCACTCTAGCCACCTCCAACTTTACTCTGTTTACTATTACTCTTTGTGTTCTGTTTGTTGGGAAATTATAGATCCATCTACCCACTTTTTCTGTTTTGCGTGTTATTAAACCAAGATCGCACTTGTCGAAGGCTTTCGCGAAGTCTGTGTATATAGTAAGTATTAATTAACTGTTCGACATAAACTTATAATAGTATTTTAATATTTCACCAATATAAAATTGTTATCCATCATCACAGGTGCTTCATATGAAGACTATCCCTACATGTGGATAGGTGTTAGTAAGGTGGACGGGGAATGGCAGTCGCTGGACGGGAAGCCGGTATCCCTACAGAGCGACATGTGGGGAGAAGGTCACCCACATGAGATGGGAACATCTGCTTTCCTCATTGATGTCACAATGGCAAACGGCATTGAGTCGTACGGTCGTCAGTACTACCATTGTTCAATGGGCACTTTTGAGTTCCACAGACGCTGTCTATGTAGGTCTCAGTAAACCTTCAACTGAATCACGATGCTAACACTCCTGCTAAAAATTATACATCAAGATGTGAGAACTACTGTGTGTTAAAAACTATCTTAACATTATAACATAGATGGGTTTGTGTTGATTTAATAATAAAACTTAATGACTGACGTGAGTAATAGATCTCTAACCTGACATCACATTATTCTGGTATTAAAACACTAATTCATGTTACATTCGCCTAACAAGAACTACTGAAATGAATGTGTGGGAATTAAAATGTGTTGCTGAGTCCACTGGACTGTTTCTCGTTAGCATATTAACTCTGCTTCCATGTAACGTTCATAACCAACCAGCTCGTTACTTTCGCATCTGAATTCACTGTTTCTCTTGTAAGTTCATATAAGTTCATTGCTACTGTAACTTATTAATTAGAAACGGAATGTTAGGGTTCAGTGCCTGGATCAATTATGTGTCTGAATTACAGATTCAGGAAGCGTGACAGTGTAAGCGTGCCTCGTGCTCCGGGTTTTCTGGTGTTTTCACGGTCTCTCTTACGTGCTGGAACTTTAATTTGTGTCATCAATCCTATACGATACATCCCTCTAGCGCCTGGAACCAATCTTGGGCGGAAAACATTATATACTGAGTCAAAAAAGGAGAATTAGTGTGCACTACCTAGCAGAGTTTACTGCCAGAGGGGAATCATTGGCCTGTGTCCCGTGTGAAAAAAATAATAATAATTGAACTTTGTGTCAGAGGAAAGAAAGTCTCCCTGAAAACATTGAGTTTACATAGTGTTAGTGTATACTACAGTGGCTCCCTAGTATTTGATGATAAAGGCTAAAGTGTCATTTAAAAAACAGGTGAATTTGTAAATGAAGTGATAAGCCTATAGAGGCAGGTGCCAAAAGTCGCCAGAAACTTACCACAGGTCAGCTGTTTTTAATAATCTTCCTGGCCTGTAGTGTACTCGCATATAATCTAGTGATACCAGTGATAGCGAATACAGTGTTGTAGTAGCAACTAACCAGTATTATTTAAAGGTACTTAGTGGAGTGGAGTGACTTTCATTAGTTTCTTTTTTCTTTAAAAACCAGACGTATACTGTGAATTTTTATTAAACCTGTAGTTACCAGCGGTGCAAAATACACAACGAGAAGAAATTATTACTACAGAAAAAGCGTCCTTCCTCCAAATTTGCACCAGTCAATATAGTGATATTTAAAAGCATTTATTGTGGTGGAGACGAAAAAAAAAATAGAAAAGCTAGGGTACAGCGATTTATAAACAAGGGTGGAGGTCGACCGTTCGTCATTGTAGGGTGCCAGCGTCAGGCTCTTCAACACGCAAGTTATACTTTTGTATCAATCAAAATCACATATTACTCGGGTAGATAATTTCAGTAGATCCTTCATTTTTGTTAGCTCAAATCACCGACCAGTATGGTCTAAATAAGTGACCCACTGATCAGATCAGATAGACTGGTCCGAACCCCTTTACTGGTCGAACCCTTGACTGGTCCGAACCCTTGACTGGTCCAAACCCTTGACTGGTCCCAACCCGGGACTGGTTTCAAACGGTTTCGTTGTGCATACCTAGCAGGTTATTAATAGAATATTCAAGAGGTTGCTAGTAGAATGCAGTAAATCAACCATTCAAATCATTTTTGAAGCTGTGTTTTAGGGCTGTGGTCAGTCAAACAAAAGGGCTTCCACATGCAAAATTGTCATTTTTGTGGAAATTGGTGTCACGCCCTTGTGCAGATATCCAAGAACTAGCTACAAGCAGTATTAAAACAGGGAAGTGTTTTTGGGTATGCCCAAATGAGATAAATCTGTGGACAAAAAATCACAAGGGATTAAAAGGGGGCAACATCAAAGCTGCTTTATAGAAAAACCTGGAAAAGCCTTTTCTCCGAGGGGCATAAAAAGTTGGGCTGAATGGAGCCTTTGTTATGGCAATGTGTCAGAAATGTAAGCTGGAGTGTGTCCGGAGGTAGTAAATGGGGGGCTTGATAGTGCTGTCTGGGACAGTAATGGGGAAGTGGGGTGCTGTCCTGGGAGACAGTAATGGTGAAGCTGGAGGTGCTGTCCTGGGAGACAGAAAGGGAAAAGGGAGATGCTTCCTGGAACCCCGGGAAGGGGGGAACGAGATCTGCTGGGGGGGAAAAAAAATGGTGAAGTAATTTGTCCAGGAGTGGGAATTAAGCAGGAAAAAATCAAAATTTGCCCTTGGGGAAAGGGCCAAAGGGGGGAAAAACGGTGTCCAAAATTTTAATTTTCCCAAATTTTTGGAAAACTAGAAAATACCGGGGTTAGCAAACGGGGGTCCACTGGAGGTTTTTAAACCCAAAAAAATGGTGGGAGCTCCTTTTGTTGGTGCTAGGGGGGAAAAAGAAGGGGGGAAAATACCAACGGGGGAATACAGTCACAAAAACCCAGGAAAAGGGAAAAACCAAGCCTGTGCAATACTATGCATCGGTATCTGCGGGCGGGGGAAATCTTGAAAAACAGATGGGCGTGCAACTATGACCCCCCTAGAAAATGCCATGCCCATTGAAAAACAGGAAAATGCAAACTCCTTCCCTGAAGCTTTTTCCCCCTGAACTGGGTACCTCTTCATACGGGAAAAAGATGTGTATAACTTAAATTCCGGCTCCCCATCAAAAGGGGCGATACAAAAAATCCAGGCCGGGGGAAAAACCTGGTTAGCACAGCCACTCAAGGGAGGGGTTTTTTTAGTCCCGGGAAGGAAAAAAACTGGCGGAAATGGCAGAAATCGTTACCCCAAATCCAGTCATTCCTGGAGTGGAACCACGCGATGGCCCCCACTCCAAACCAAAAATCAGATATAATGCGGAAAAAAAACCCCCCCCCCAGTCCCAACAATACCACCAGCCCGATTTTCTTCTTTGAAAATATACAGGGTTAAAGCCAGCAACAACAACAAAATACCTTTCACCCGTGGCTGCTTGCAGGGGCAAAGGAAATGTTCGCGGTTTCACTGAGACCCAATAAAGGTACTTTGGGAAAACGAATTGGACCCCAGGTTAAACCTATACGATGTGACAGAGTGAACAGGCAAAAGGGGGGGGGGGGTTCCCCGTACATTGCAGAGTCACTTGTTTGCACAGAACTGCTAAATGCCTCAAATGATGTAGTGGAAGTTTTAGCAGAAAAGGGTCGGAACCCCCTTTATTGTGGTAGTCTAAAAACCCCCGGATGCAACATCCAGCATTCCCCAGGAACAGCTGTTAAAATTGCCCACTTTTGGGAAAAAAACCTTCCAGCCCCTGCACCAACATCTTGCCCCTGGGGGATTTCAACTTAAGGCCCCTAAAATGGAGGAAAAGGCAAAAAATTTTGTTGCAGTAATAACCCCGGGGGGCAGCTTGATGAAAATCACACTCACCGAGCTTTTAAATCTCTGCACAAAATTAAATTTTAAACCCAGCAAATAATAGGCTACTAGATGGAAAATACACAAGACCTCATCTACCTAACAATGATGATCTGATAAAAAATGTCCCGTATAAAAAACAATATACTAGATCACAACATAATTGGGGTTTCAGTCATGTATAAAGGGAAAGCCCCGGACCCATAATGAGATTGTCACGAGGGAGCATTCACCAAATTCAACTTCTTTACAAAAAACATAAAGTGGGACCAAGAAAACCAAGCCCTAACCGATATAAGTGGGAAGTATAAAAGAAACACAGACCCCAACTTATCCCTAGAACAGATTAAATCGGTGGCACTCGATTATGCACAAGGTTATTCCCCTAAAAAAAGGGGGGAGTAGATGTAAAAAAAAAGAGACAGGCGCTCCCTTTAAGGCGACGAAGAAGAATAACGAGCGGTAAAAAAGGTCAATATATTGAAAAAGCGGGGGGACACGGTCAGAGAAATAGCAAACTCGAACTTAAGCTAAAAGAATCCTTTTGGAGTCGGAATTGCGGGAAGAACTAAAAGCCATAAAAAGAAATCGAAAGAAACCCAAAATATTTTTCTTTCCCATTCCAAATCAAAATCTGAAAACGCCAGTTTGGGCCCCTACTTAACAAAAGGGGCCTTCACGAGACGCAAGGAAATGAGTGAGTCCAAATCCCCAAAATGACTCATTTTTGCAAGCCCCCTAACCCGATGAGAGCGAAGGTCAAAATTATTTTTTATGAGGAACCACAAAAAATTTTATTAAAACAAGCCCATCCGTGTTATCCCCGACGCCAAATGCTTTGAACAGGCGATAAAGAATGCCCAGCACTCTGCCCCCGCGCCAGACTCTGGAATCGTGTTCTAAAAAACTGCAAGAAGCCCCTATCACGAGCCCTTTTCCATCCTTGGAGAGGGAGAGGACCGGGGGTCGTCCCACGTTACTAAAAACAAAGACATAGCCCCACTCCCAAAGGGGGCGAAAGAACAGCAAAAAACTACAGACCAAAAGCACTAACTCCCCTATCATAAAAAACTTTGAAAGGGTCCTAAAAGCAAGATCCCACCCCTCTAGAAACCCATCAGTTTTCACAAACCCGGGGGAACATGGGTTTTTGAACGGTCGCTCCTGTTGTCTCAACTATTGGGTCACTACGACAAGGTCCCCAAATGCACTAGAGACAAAAAGAAAGCAGATGTAATATTACAGCTTTGAAAAGCTTCGAAAGTGTGACCATGGCGTAATTTGCGCACAAAAAGCGTGCTAAAGGAATAAAGGAAAAGTCGGTCGATGGATCTATATTTCCTCACTAACGAACCAGAGAGTAGTCGTCACAGAGTAAAGCGAGGCAGCTACGGTGAAAAAACTTGTTCCCAAGGACAGTACTCGCTCCCCTCTTGTTCCCCATCCTCATATCCCACATGACAAAGGGTGTCACCCCAAAACGTGTCTTCCTTTGCAGATGACACCCGAATCTGCTGACGTGTCTTCCATTGCAGACACTGCAAACCTCACGGGCATCAACCAAAAAACTTTCGTGGGTGCAGAAAAAAAATATGAAGTTCAACGAGAAAATTTAATTCCCCAGATTGGTAAACAGAGGAAATTAAAAATTTTATCAGAGTCAAAACAAAAATTTGGCCACAAAAAAGAGCAAAAAACCCCAAAGTCAAAGACCTGGGAGTGATCATGCGGAGGATCTCACCTTCAAGGACCATAAAATTGTATCAATGCATT